AAAGACGGAAAAATTTTTGTTTCCCCCCCCCCCCCCCAACCCCTTTAAAAAAACCTGAAATGACGTTCCTGGTCTGCGGGAGCCAACATTAGAAAACATGCCAAGAGTAATGGTAGATGATCACGTGCTGTTACTTGATGGCTGGCAGTCCTCGTGCACCTACTTCAGCGTTTACTCCTTTGTTGAAATGATTGGTACATAGTGTTTGGTGACTATTTTGCGTCCTCATCTGCTTCTCTAGACTGTTACATTTCGGTTTCCACCAGGAGTCGCTTTTACTTGGCCACAGCATATTCCCGTGTTACCTGCTGCCCAGCCTCCCAGCCACTCCTCGTGGAAGTGTCATGTAGCCAAGCTTTGACTTTCAGCAGAGTCTGGCATATTGGGTAGGGCCTGGGCTGCACCTTCTCGCGCAAGGATATCGGCCCTATCGACGCCTATCGTGCTGCGTCCCCTCAACGTGACAAGAGATGTACTGTGGGAAACCTTTCCTCCTCGTGTCGGGATGTCACCTACTGTTTCCAAAATACTGTTTATTACTGTAGCCGAGTGTAGTCTCCATCCAGCTCCTTTCCATGACCGTTGCTGGCACCCAATCTGAGTCTGCATGCTCATTTATTGTTTGCTGTGTATATAAATCATCTGCTCCTTCCAAGCTCTGGTCTCTTAGTACTTTGATTTCTTTTTCAATTCTCTTCATTTCCAGTTTTCTTACATTGTCAATCTTTTCTCTCTTTTTTTGTAGACAGGGTTTCTCAACCTAGAGATGCAAAAGGGCGGGATTTCAGGGGTGTGAAGAATTTTAAGAATAAAGTAGTCATTGATTTTTAAGGTATGATATGCATGTTTCATTTTTTCCCTCGCCATGAACATTAAAACTTATCATCATTGGCTCTAAATTAACAACTAACATCTTGTGACGGTAATAAGATACAGGTTTGTTTTTTACATTCTACAATTCTCTTTTTATTTTGAAAAATAAACGAACTTTTTTATCAGTTTTAAAATATGCAATAATACTTTTGTAGGGGTGCGAGGCTTATTCATTCATTTCATTCGTTTGGGTGCAAACTAAAGTAAACACTGGGGAGACATGGGACCTTAAATACGTATTTTAAATTTCGCAACCAATGGTACTTAATTATTTTTTACAGTACGTACTCGTGCAGAATTCATACTTACAACATTACCATAAGATATATCGGTCTAGGTCACGTCTAGGTGTAGCTCAACCCCATCCCCCACATCATATCAGATCACTTCTCTGAAATCTAAGCTAATATTAATACTAATTTCAAAAGTAATGATCTTATATATAATTTTTTTGACAACAAATTCAAATTTATCAGTCACTCAGTCACACCCATGTCGATATCAAATACTAATTTAATGAAATTATAATTGGAAACACGGCGAGGGTCTCAATTCCTTAAATCGAGAATGAGATAAGCTCCACTTCTACATTCCAGGAGACGATTACTAAATTTGGAATGGGCGTAACTTTACAGAGTGACAGTTCAGTTGAGTGATAGCCGACTGAAATTTCCTGGCGCATAACTTTACTTGAAATTTTATTATTTACTGCAAAAAGGGTTGATTTTAAAGATCGAGCTGATACAAAACATTGTTCTTAACATTATATACTTTTTACAAGTTTATTAATAATGTATTCCAATATTTTTCACCCTTTGAGCTAAGAAATCGCAGGTCATGGAGTATGTTGAAGGTCGTATCCGAACATTATCGGAATCTTCCGAACATATATTATGGGGTTCCCTTAAGGTTCAATTAAGTTAATTTAGAAAACATTTGAATTTTATTTTTAATTTTCGATTTTTTACTATTCAAATTTATTAGTTTTTAAATATTCATGAATAATTATTTTATAATTTTCTGTAAAAAAATGACCAAAAATTATGTTTTAAATACTTATTTATCCTTGAATAGGCCTCAAAGACCGACAAATTAGTTTCTGGCGTCACGGAGTGGGCAGTGTCGAAGGAGCGAAGAAACGCCATTTTGACGATGACTGACAATGTCTGCTGAGGACAAGGTAGGGCTCGATCTGTCAGTGTGTTAGCTAGAAGATTGACACGTGTCAAAACATTGAATTTACGTGGTTTCTAAAGTTCGATTGCTAATGATAGATTGGTTGGTCAGCAGCCTATTCGTTGCGAAAAGAACGATACATATATCGCTTTAGATATGATATAGATAGATAGATCCTGTCCATTTAACGACGATGAATATGTCAATCACTTGAATTAATGAGTGTCACTCATGATCATCTAATTGGGAAAAGGTGTGCCAATTTGGAAATACACGTATCACGTAGAAATCTTGGCTTACCGTAATCTTTTCCATCGTTGCAACGGAATACATTTTTTTTAAACCCATTAAATCTAATAGTAATACCATTAAGTAGTATTAGCTTCCTGACTGAAACATATTTTAATTTTATGGCAGAATATTAAATCATTAAATTCATTCAACTCAATCATTAATTTCATTCATTAATCAATGAATTCAATGAGTAAAAGATATAGATTTAACCTATTAATTTATTTGAATAAGCTATTAAAATTAAAGATTAGGCCTAGTCATTATCATTAGTAGGCTACAAAAGAACTTACAATGAATTGGTTGACTGTTGATATTGAATGAATTGAATGTTAAAAAAATAGATTATTAGGCCTATTTGATTATTCATAATTCATGTATGCAGCAGTGTAGCCAAGACCTAGCTAGGCTTTGTATGCATCTCTCTTCTAACTCTTACTAACTTACTAGGCCTACTTGTTTTAAGACTTAACAAGGCTTATGCCAAGTTATGCTACTACTACTAGTACCAGTTCTAGCCTACTATATTGACTACATTAATAACTAATTAGTCCTTTACATTAATAACTAATTAGTCCTTATTAGTATTAGTCTTACCCTTGAACTTGGTTCTTTGCCTTAGTGGCCTTAGGCCTTAGTCTTAGTTTTGACAGAGACAGACTTACTTGGGCTGGGGGGAAAAAAATCATGATAATGAGTGATAAGACTACCCATCATTTTTATCAAACAGTTGAAACAGTCATCTGTCTAGTGACATAATTAAGGAAAATGTCTAGACCTAGAACTGCTGTAGCTCAACATGACTAGATTGGCATGGCATAATAATAGATAATCAATAAATTAAATACACTGTCCACACACATTCATGATTTCTTTTTGTGGCTTTACTTCTAATGGGCTAAGGAGACTGAATATTATATAAAATAAAATTAATTATATAATAGTAGTTATTAGTAATAGTAGTATTAGTATTAGCCTTGGGCCTAATAAAGAGCTGGGCTTGAGTTTGAGGGGTTTAATAAAATTTAATATAAAGATAGTAAGAAAGTTACTAGGTAGGCCTAGCCAGCCAACATCTATATTCCTAATTCTAAATATTTGTATAGTATAAGGCAAATTTTAGGCCTAAGCCTAAGCATTTTTAAAATTCTACATCCTAATTTTGGAAATGAATCCATTGCCCTTAGCCAGCACTCCTCAGAATGGCGGTCCCAAATTCAAAATAGATATACTTTTCGTTTGAAATTGTCCGATGCCAATAATTGGTGACCTAATTTTTTACTTCAAATTTTGTTTGGAGACTAATTGTTTCTTGTAATAATATAAAACAAACAATACCATGGCCGCATAATGCAAGAGCCGGTTCATATTTAAAAAAATATTTTTTCAGGAAACATTCTGCTAACTTATGACAACACCGAAGTCACTGTAAGCTTAGGTGTGTGTGGCTTGTACAAGTACAGTCTAAAAAAGAGCAACTCAACAGAGATACTTTTTGTTTCTCTCTTTTATTTATTTATTTTTTTTCCTCTCAGGAGATGATGACATGGAAGAGGCTGATGAAGATTGCAATCTTAAAAAAACCTGAATAAATTAAATAAGCTTAAATAGAGGATTAGACGTAAACAAATACGTCACCCATTATCAGCGGCTATTTGACTGGTAGCCGGCACTTTATAACAAATACTATTCTATTTTTAGTTTGGGGCCACCGTTCTGAGGAGTGCCCCCTACCCTTTTAACCTGTGTCATGTCAAAACCAGTGAAGCTTCAGTCTTCAGTGCTTAAACTTAGAAATTTAACTAGGCCTAAGGCCTATGGCTATACTTTTGTTAGGCTTCAATTTCATATTCATGCTAAAAAATATATACCTATTCATAGACTAAAGGCCACTATATTATTTGGCTGTCAAAGGTTAGGCCTATATTTATTTACTTGACGACATCCGCAAGCTAGCTTTATTGTATTATGTTGCTTTAGTGTCTCTAGGCTTAGGCCCACTGCATGCATGTTTTCCAGTATGTTGCAGACATCCTCTAAAAATATTTGTTGTTTGCTATTTATTAACAGATGCAAATAATGTGAGTTTGGGCTTTAAATTATTTTTTTTCTCTTCTTCTTCTATATATTTAGGGCCCACGATCAATTTATTGATCATTCTGGCTCCTATGCATGTAGTGGGGATTTGAAATGTTTCTGTGCCTGGTGTTGAAGAGGATATGTCCCTGGTTGCAAGGGCTACTCGGTGAGGGTATCATGAACTGGGGGTTGGAAGGTCTGAGGCAATAGACGCACATTTTCTCAGGCCGGTTTGACTGTTCAAATGATTTATATTGTCAGACTGAGTTAGTAAAAATCTAGTGACTTATTGTTTTTATACTTCTTGACTTTTCACACTGCAATCAGTAGCGGGAGGGGTAAACAAAAAGTGTAGACGTAGGGTGGGGTTGGGGGTGGGGGGAAAGGTTGCATATTTTTTGCAGATGTCCTCTATGAGCAACACCCTGAAGCTCCTTGTAAGCTTAAATCTGTTTTATTTAATTTAATCATCACCTTTAATATATTGTAAGTTAAACTAAAGCTGAATTATAGTAACATAAATGTTCAATTATTTTTAAATTTACTGTATAAAAAGCATTATTCAATGTAACACTGTTCAACTTCGCTTCTGTTAAATAAGATATCAGATTAGTTTGCTTCTTTAAATTGGGGCCGTGACTCATAAAAGGCTGGGAACCTTTTATTCATGGAATACAGAAATAGACAAAGACATTCCTTTGCTTTTTATCTACATAATTTTAATGGCTAATGTTCATATTAATACTGTATAGAATATATGCATTTCTCAATCACATAAGCAAAATGCAGACCTGCCAACCCTTCCGATTATGTTGGCATGATACAGATTTTGTACTCTGTTCTGTATATACATATTTCCAGTAATGTTTTTCTCATGCTCTGTAGTGCTCTATGGCCTCTTCAAAGACACTGGAGGTCATTTTGTTTATCTACTAAAAAAGGATTGTGCAATAGTATGTAGATCTTAAACCAATGTGCCCCTGCCCCCCTAGCGAGCACCCCCCTACAGATTTTTTTTTTTTCTTGGCAGGTTGGCAGGCCTGCATAATGAAATTGAATTTAACCGGTTATTAACCCATTCTGTACTAACCTCTAACTATGAAGCACATCCTGGATTACAAATCAAATGGAGAGAACTTTTAAGTACAAGCACACCAATGTTATAAAAATAATTGTTTAAACCAATAAACATCATGCAATTTTACAAAACAAGAATTAAGAAATAGAAAATGAATGTCATTTTGAAAAATGTCTTGATTTATATACTTTATTTACTATTCTTTTTACTGTAAAACAATATATCTAGTTTCTTAAATTTACATAGCATTTTGGGATGTTTGCAGTAATATTAGGGTCTCTTGAAATTAACTTGTGTACAGCCCTTTATTGTTTCTCCCTGGTTCTACCACTGTCTTTCTTGTTATCATCAGTTTAACAATTGTGACATCAAAATTTTATTCCAAGTACCTGTTTTGGTCTCAAACATTTGGTGACAGCTGAATGGCATAGTTGTTTCAATCAGCACCAGGACTTACCAAGCTATACCATTCCATTTTCATTAGTCGACATAAACAGTCTGAAATAATCTGCCGTACAACTATTATTTGGAGCGCTATCAATGCAACCTTTTATCTATTTCAATCTTTCGGTTTGACCAGGAACATTGCCCAAATTGTCACTTTCTCATGGTCATATGCTACATTTGGAAACATCTTTTTCTTAACTATTTGAGTATTTAAAATAAGAAATTGGAGTCAACACTTTTTATGGCCCTAATTTTTTAGTTTGATTTATTTTTTTTTAAAATGCTGGATTTGGAAAAACTCACCTCATGAAAATGGGATACCCAGTCATCAAATAAATGTTTGTCTAAAGATGTTAAAGTGTAGTACTTGAGAAACCATCAACACATTTGTACACATTTTAATGTGGAATCAAAGAAATCTGACTTAAAGATTGATCAGATAAGATGGTTTTATTACTCCAAATAAATGGACATTTGGTTTGATAGCATTGTAAATATTGTTTTGGAAAGTCCTTGAGATTTTGCTGCTCCCCAAAATCGGTCAGCAGCAAAGCATTTCGTGAATCATTGTGTGGTCAGAATAGCTGTCACATTCTTTAGTGAATCATTGTATGGTCAGAATAGCTGTTTATTTCTTGTGTTGTGTTCTTAAGTGCAAGTTTGCATTTGGAACAGAGTATGAATTTGTTTGAACTGAGCTCCCGGCTTTTATGGATAATCATAATCTCTGTAGCCAACTTGTCTTTGGTTTGTTGCCTTGATCTCTGCCATTGTACAAGATGGTGGATACGTGGATTCCAATATGGTGGATGTGAATGTGGTTCAAGCCCATGACTTGCAATGCAATTTAACCATGGAGAATCATGATAAAACACAAGATTATCTGTCCAAACGAACATATTTCACATTTATCACACCTTGAATTCCTAAGAAAACATAAAAAACCTCAAAACTATTCCAAAAGTCGCCTGCAGAGGGGTGCCCCAGAAGTAAATTTAAATTGATAAAAAAATTGATTGTGTTATGAGCCAAAACTTTAAAATGCTTCTTATGTTCTTCAATTAATGCAGGATGTGTCAGGCCTATTGACACAAAATTTTGTGTGTCTTTTAACTTGAAAAGATTTTAGAATGAATAAATGAAAATTTTTTATTCCATACTTGTCTACTGAAACTGTATGTAATTATAGCTGATAACTGGAAAGAGAAGCAATCTTTAAATTATGTGACAGATGTATGTCAAAAAAAAGAGGGGTTGGTTATTCACACAAATTAAATCTTATCTTTGACATCCCCGTGTTCAGAGATAACTTAATGCAGCTTAATATCCAATTGAATGCCCAGCATACACCCACTCACTGTAGAGAGAAAGATTTAGTCCTTTGTCATGGTAAGGTAAACATTATTTTCAAATTTAACCCTTTCGGGACGGAGCCTTATCGGGGTGTCTGTCCCAAAAAGACGGAGCACTTTTTACGAACTTGGCACTCGTATTTCAAAAAAAATTATAAAAAACTTTACATATATAAAACTTTACATCTTCTTGTAGAAAATTGAATAAGCTAATACAATATTTATAAGTCAAACTGAAATCTCAACATTTATGCAAATGAGCTATCCTGATTTGCCTAATTTATGCGTCAAGTTTGTATTAAACTGAGAATAAACATGACTTACTTATGTCTTTCTACCCCATTTGGGGCATAGGCCGTCTACAAGAACTTTCCACTCATCACGATCCTGTGCTTTCCTTTCCAATTGCTTCCAGGTGTATCCTATATTTTGCGTGTCTGCCTCTAGCTCGCGTCTCCATGTATTCTTAGGCCTTCCTCTCTTTTTCCCTGTGGGTTCCATGTTAGGCATTGTCTGGTGGGGCTATCTGGGGGTTTTCGGAGCGTATGCCCTATCCACCTCCACCTTTTCTTTATGATATCTTGATCAATGTGCACCTGATATGTCCTTTCTAGTAGATCTTTGTTGTTGAAAGTATTTGGTCATTTGATTTTCATGATCTTTCTAAGGCATATGTTTATGAATGTCTGCACTTTCTACATAAGGCTCACTGTTGTTTTCCAAGTTTCTGCACCTTAAAGTAGAATTGTTTTGAAATTTGTATTAAAGACTCTGACTTTGGTTTGCAGTTTCAGTTCCTTTGACTCCCATATTTTCTTTAATAGCACACATGCTGATCTAGCTTTTCCAATTCTATCCCTTACGTCTGCATCCGAAACGCAATTAGTGTCTATGGTACTGCCTAAGTAATTGAAGGACTCCACTTCTTCCAGTGCCTTTCCTGCCAGATAAATATGGTCTTGGTTGGATGAGTTCACCTTCATGATTTTTGTCTTGCTTTTATTTATATTGAGTCCAAGCTGTGCTGAAATGGTGGGTACGTCTTTTGTCTTTTCCTGCATTTGTTGCTGGTTGTGGGACAGAAGTGCAATGTCGTCTGCAAAGTCTAAATCATTAAGTTGTTCCCAGAGTGTCCACTGTATCCCATTCCTCTATTTGTCTGTGGATTTTTTCATTATCCAGTCAATGGCAAGGATGAATAGAAATGGGGACAAGAGGCATCCTTGTCAGACACCTGTTTCGACTGTAAAGGAATCTGTGAGTCTGCCTTCGTGGACCACCCTGCAGGCCATTTCTTCATAAGAGCTCTGGATGATCCTGACTAGTTTCCCTGGTACTCCATTTGGCCGAAGAAGTTTCCACAAGGTTTGTCGGTCCAGGCTATCAAAGGCCTTTTCATAGTCTATAAAATTTAAATATAGGGGGAGTTCCATTCCATGGACTGTTCTACAATGATTCTTTGTGTTGGAATTCGATCTGTGCATGATCGGTTTTGGCGGAAGCCAGCCTGTTGATCTCGTAGCTCCATGTCGACCTGGTCTCTCATTCTATTTAAAATAATTCTGTCAAAGACATATCCTGGTACAGACAGCAGTGTTATTCTCTGTAATTTGCACAATTGCTGAGATCCCCTTTCTTTGGTATCTTGATGAGGTATCCTTCTTTCCAATCTTTTGGAACTCTCTCTTCTTCCCATATCTTTTCCAACAGAGGGTGCAGCATACTGACTATTGTATCTTTATCAGCTCTCATCATCTCTGCTGTGATGTCATCAGGTCCCGGTGCTTTCCCTATTTTGAGCTGCTTTCTTCTATTTGTAAGTCTTCATTTGCTGGTTGTATGTCTGGTGCGTCTGTGGGTCTGTTTGATAGTTCCTTTAAGTATTCCATCCATCTTTTTTGTTGCTCTTTCCTTTCTGTTATTGATCTACCTGACCTTCTCTATCTTTGACCAGTCTCTCTGGCCTTTTGTATCTTCCTGACAGCTTTCATTTTATGTTGTAGAGCTCTTTCAAGTTGCCCTTCCCGGCTGCTTCTTCTGCTGTTGATGCTAGGCCATCTATGTAGGCATTTTGATCTTTTTTATGCTGTTTTTTACCTTTTGGTTTGCTTCTTTATATTTCTCTTGTGCTTTTGTTTTCTCCGCCCTGGTGCAGTTGCTGTTAACTTTACTTTAAAGAAAAGAAGCAGGACTTACCGGTGTAAATTGTGTGCATTTTTTTAGGGATGAAGCATGAATAGATCCTAACACATGTGTTTTAGGAAATAAGACCCATGGAGACCCTTCAGACACCCCTAGCACAGAGTTCTACTCCTTTTCCTGCCCCGGGGTACTTTTCGGTTGCTACAGACAGAGCAGTCCTTTTCACCATTGTGCACCCAATTATGGTTTATTTGAGTTAGGTGTTATTTAGAAAGTTGTCTGCATACTTATTAGTTATTATAATTCTCTCTCACAAACATTTGAATGATATTTTGTGTAAAAATTAGCATAAAGTACTCAACTGGGGTGCTTATCCCATGAGGCACATTTATAGGCTCTATTTTTTCTAAAATTTCATAGGGATCATCTCTACACAGTTCAGAACCCCTAATCCTAAACCAAGGATTCACAACATTATCGTTAATATACTCATTTTGACTGTCTTCATTACTTTCCTGGTTGTTTTCATCAGTGTCCGTGTCAGATTCACTGCTAGACAGTGAGAAATCAGAATCATTAACCATAAATTGATCAGAGTCACTGTCAGACATGTTCGAATTTCACGATACAGCTATACACAAAATAAATTTAGTTCACCATCAACGAATGCTGCTATTACAATCACGGGATGTGCAGGAATACGGAAAAATAAATTTGATTCGCTGGTACAACGCCAAGCCAGCCAATCACTAGGCTCGATTTATCGGGCAGATGTTTCGGAATTTCTCGCTAGTTCACCTTGGGCCGATAGATCTGCCCTTAAGTGAAGACAAGAGGGTTAAAATCGTTTTGGAAATACAGGAGTAAAAAATAAACAAGTAATTGTGGTGACGTTCCACATCTTCTGTCTGTGAGGCTTTCTTTTGAACAAAAATTATTATAGTGATGCCGATTGGGATGAATTGTGTATTTATTTACTTCTGCATAGCAGAATTATCAGGAGCTTTTAATAAATTAAATTTTTAAAAAATGTTTGTTGTTGTCTTAAATAATATTGGTTACAGCTCACAACTAACCATGACCAATGTCCAAAACCAGCACCTTACTCATAAATATGTTACAAATGGTCACCATAGTCATTGGGCACATATAAATTATAAGAGACTTCATTTGTATCACTGGTATATTATTTGATTATCTTTGTGCTTTTAACCAAGCTATGCTTTGTAAACCAAGCTATGCTATCTAAATTTATTATGCCACTATTTCCAGATCAAGAATATGAGTTTACATGAGCACTCTGAAAAGATTGATGACTAGACTATGTCAATCCTTCAAAGTGAGCTACCAACTTACACAGAGGCACAAGTCATAAACTCTGAAACAAAGTAAATCATTCATATTTTATTTTAAATTTGATTTAAAGAATAAATTGAATTAAAATGTCTGTGTCTCAATAATTTAAATGATATTTCATCCCCATTACAAATCTTAAAATATTTGTTATCTAAAAATTTACAAGTTTTGAATAGTTTTCAAGGTCTTATTTGACATTGTAATTTTTAATTGTTTAATTGATTTTTGTTTTAACAAGATTACAAATTATTGATATATTGTAGCCCAGTTGTTGAGCATTACAGATAAGTTTTTAAAAGTGTAAGTTTTTAAAAGTGTGTTCATTTTTGTACAGCATACAGCACAATATCCTTAGCCTTACAAGTCAGGACTCAGCCTCTAGTTTATCACAAAACATAGTACTGCAAAGTGATGTCCCTCAAACACCGGAAGATGTCGCCAATTTTGACACATTTAAACAAAATATTTACAGGTTAGCTCTAATAGGAATTCTATATTAAAAAAACAACAACTGCTTTTATATAAAAACCATAGTTAATCATTCCATAAAAATGTGTGTGTAGTTTTCAAAATATTTTAAAACATGAAAAATGTACATGAAATACATCAAAAGAAAATGTATAAAATCTTTGTATAAAAGCTTGAAATTTACGTTTATGGTAGCAAATGAGCTTAATTTTTCTGTAATATTCCAGGCATCCTTTATTTCCTCTGCTGGCCTTGATGTTTGAAAAATGTGAAAATTCAACTGCATGTCCCGATGAAGCATCTCATGGCTTTGAAAAAGAAATTCAAGCTTTTATGAAACACCAGGAAACAGTCAAAAATCCTGTGCTCTGTTTTGATGATGAAGTCAGTGCATTGGTTAGTGACAATCTTAAAAATTAAATGTATTTATGATATCTAAGGAGTAAGTGGACTACAATTTAACTCATTTGACATTATGATCTTTGGAACTAATAGTATAATTTAATGAACTATAACTTAAAATATTTTATTCAAATGAGTGTTTTTAAAATTTTTTTATTGTTTCTTTAGATGATCAAAGCTATTCAAGTTCTGCGAATCCATCTTATGGAGATGGAAAAGGTCAATGACCTTTGTAAAGATTTTTGCTCTCGCTACATCTCATGTTTAAAAGGAAAATTAACGTCCGAGCAGCTGCTTCACGTTGATGGTTGTGATTCTCCAGAGCCACAAGAACTAAACATGTGTAAATATTTATTGAAGTTCTTCTATGCTGTCAACTCCCATACTCATGAATACTTTTCTTCAAGTATTTTTATGGCAAATTTGTTTTAGGGAACCCTATGTAAGTTTCTTATAACATGCTTGGTAAAAAGACAAAATGAACAAACCTCCATTTGTTTGTAATCTTATATCAAGAATATCTTTTTCTAGGTTTGGAATTGAACATCATTTATTTTTTCCGTATTTTTAAAATATTTTTCTTCTTTCAAGCTTCCCATAATGTTGTAAACATAAATTCGGGTATGCAAATCCAGCAACCATCATTGGTCACACCCACTGTTGTTGGGGGAAGTGTTGTCCTGCAGCAGCAACAACAGCCTCAGATTGTTTCTGGTAACACAGTGTACCAGATGGTACACACTCCACAGGGTATCGTGGCACAGCCTATTCAGGTAAACTTAGGTACAGTTGTGCCTCATTTATTCAATTTTAAAGAATTTTTATAAGGAAGTTATTGCCATGAAAATTCCAACAAAATTATGTCAAAAGCTGTGAGCATTATAATTATATTCATAGTTATATTCATAGTTATATTCATAGTTATATTCAGTTATATTCATAGTTATAGTTATATTCATGTGTTACATACTGTTATCAGTATGAAGAAGTAAATCTTTTCTTTAAGTATATAGCTCGTTTTACAACAGTTCACAACAAAAGACATACCATAAATAAAATAATAATAATAATAATAAAGCTTATTTGAAAATCACGCTTCATCCCCAAAGGCTCAAAGTGTGGTACAAAGTCATCCATATTAAAAGAGATATGAAAAAATCTATATTTTACCACATTGAAATACAAAACGCAATATTCCAAAAACTACATACGAGAGTACCCATTTTAAGTCTTTCATCCCTTGCGACCATAAACAACTCAGGCCACTATACATCTAGGAGATAATAGCTAGCTGGAAAAGGTGGTAGACAACATCATCCCAGCAGGTGTTTGAGAAATCGGTTTTGAAAGACTCCAGTGTCTGGCTGTTTCTGAGAGTGACAGGAAGTGTGTTCCAAATTGTTGGGTCAGCAAATGCGAACGTGTGCCTTCCGTAAGTCTCAAGGCAAACACATGGTTTGCCACTATCAGATGAGCAGAGTTGTCTAGTGGGTACATAAGGCGTCAGGAGCGCTTTGAGATAGGATGGCGCCAGGTCATGCAAGCAGCGGTAGCAAAGAGTTGCAATTTTGTAATCTATGCCACCGCGAACCGACAGCCGATGCAACTCTCTCAGAAGTGTTTCAGCATGGTCAAATTTGCGTTTGTGAAAACAATGCGAGCCGCATTATTTTTTACTTTTTGAATTTTATCCAAGAGCATAGCTGGAAGACCCACTATGAGAGCATTGCAGTAGTCCATGCATGATAGCACGAATGCGGACATCAGCCTCTTTGTTGCAACTAACGTTAAGAAAGGTCTGATATGACTAATTCTGCGCAGCTCTATAAAAATCGCCTTGCAAATCATGTTAATGTGATTTTCCATAGATAGTGTTCTGTCTAATTAGAGCTATTTCAATCTGTATACCTGAGAGAGAAAGGGCTGGTGTGTTATTTACAGACTTAAGCTTTTGAACGGTAGCAATGGGGATCAGTTCAGTCTTTTCATAGTTCAATTTGAGCTTCTTTGTATTCATCCAGTGCTTAACTGACTCCACTGTCTTCTATGTCGTACTAAGAAGCTGAGGGAACTGAGAGGGGGTCACGGATTGCTGAAGTTGGGTATCATCCGAGAACATGTGATAGATCATGTCAAACTGCTTGATCCCTGCACCCAAGGGCTGAACGTACATAGTGAAAAGCACCGGGGCTAGGACGGAGCCCTGGGGTACTCCAAATTTTATAATAGATTGCTTCGAGATCAAGCCATTTGCGATAACTGATTGGACCCGATTTGTCAGATACGAGCAGAATCATCTCAGGACGGTATCGGTCAAGCCGAACGTATTTTGCAGACATTAGAGAAGTATGTCGTGGTCGAGCGTATCGAATGCTGCCGATAGATCAAGTAAAGACAAAAGGGATACCCTGCCCTCTCCACAAGATGACAGAAGGTCATTTACGACGCACAACAGGGCTGTCTCAGTAGAGTGATGCGCCCTGTATGCTGACTGGAAAGGCACAAACAAGTCACACTGAGTGAGGTGGTTCAGGAGCTGGCGGAGAACTACTTTCTCTAAAATTTGGAAACAAAGGTAGATTCGAGATTGGGCGATAATTTTCCAACACATTTGGCTCCAGATTTGATTTCTTTAGCAGTGGAGTTGCAACCACCTCTTTAAAAGAGGATTGAACAATACCTGTTTTCAAAGACTGATTTATGATACTAGTTATGATAGGGACTATTTCATCCAAACATTCGTACAATAGCCCTACTAGAAGAGCAAACATGACTTTTTCGGGGAGTCAACCAGGATTTTCTTCACATGTGATTCAGTGACCTCCAAAAATTCACACATAGGAGTGAGGTTAAACGGCAAGAATTCTGGAGCATCGTGCAAATGTCAAGTCTCGCCCTGATCTTCATAACTTTCTTAATAAAGAAATTATTTAGAGCATCTGGCAGCTTGCCTACGGCAATGTTATTTGACAAAGATGTGTCCTTCTGTTTACCGGTCAACTGACCTACAATACGAAATAAGTCCCTACTTGAGCCACAATCTCCAATATGGTAACTGATATATTCAATCCTAGCTGCAAGGACCAACTTCTTTGTTCGTTCCTTGTAATCATCAAAGATTTTTTGGTGCGCGGTCAAGCTTGACTTCCGCCATTTGCGTTCTGCACGTGGCTGCTTCTGCTTCGCATCCTTTATTTCGGGCATGAGCCATGGGGCGGAAGGGTGGTCCGTAACGCAACGTGTGGACAGTGGTGCATGTTTATCTAAAATGACTCTGAGACCACTGTTGTAGTCTGTCGCAGGGTCTTTTTCACTGCACCTGAGGGCAGCGACGTCACATCTGAAGGCCACTAGATCAATCTTTCGGAGGTCTTGAGATGTGACTGTGCACAGAAAGGGCCCTGGCTTCCTCAAGTCAAAGTCAAAGGTTACTGTGAAATGATCAGAGATCAGTTTGTCTTCAATAATGAGGCTGCGGATCATAGCTGCACGGCCCTCTCGGTCAAATACCCAATCTTGGATGTGACCCCACTTCTGTGTAGGGAGGCTGATAAGCTGAGTCATTCCGTGTGTGTCAAGAGCTGATTTTAGGTTCTTCACATAGCTGTCGGTGGTGGAATCATAATGTCAGTTTGTGTCGCCGATTATGATGACGTTGTTGTTGGTGGAAGCGTACATGTCCAGGATCTGTAGAAACTCTGCAGGAGGTGGCCTGTATATGCACAGAAGCATCATCACTTGGTTACCATAATTAAGTTGCATCTTGCACATCTCGAATGAAACAATCTCGTCCGATTTTGAGAACACCACACTATTCTTGAGGGAGCTCCTGTTAAGGACCGCAATATTCCCGCCACTGTGAAACAGCCTTGGGCAAGAGTGAAGGAGGTAGTCGGGAGGTGTAATTTCTTGCAACTTGACCTCATCACCAATATGTTTAAACCATGTCTCGGTAATGAAAACAAGGTCGGGCTTGCTCTCCAAAACAAGATCACACACCTCAAATGTCTTATAAATACAATAATCAAGCATACAATACTCAAACCAGGGCTAATTACAATTAATAAATTTTATTATGTTAATAATAAATTACAAAATCAAAATGAAATAAATTAAAGCTATTGACTTACAGAAAATGATTGGCTTGTACCGTTACAATGTTGATTAAGATACAATGTTGCAAAAAGGTACAATGATGAAAAGGAATCTACACAAAAGAAATTTTTAGGCAAGTTTATTTCTAAACTTTTATCTTTTTTTAGATACAAGGGCCCTTGACACCTCTGAACCAGCCTGTTCATCAGGTCATTCACGGCAGCACTCCCCTGTCACAGATTGGGGTGTCTCTCACATCCCCAATGCAGCAGCATCAACAACACCATGTTCAGCAGCAGCCATTGCAGCAGCAACAACAGCCACAGCTAGACCTCAAGCCAGGTAAGTTTGAATGAAAGTACATCTCTGTTTTTAAATATTGAATATTCTTCTCAAAATTAAATACTTCATTATACTCATCCTTCATGAGATTTATTTATTTGTGTATCAACTTTTAAATACCAATTGACATCATAAATGATCGTAGTTCCATGAACATAAAATAAATATTTCATTTTCGACATACTTTTATACCAACTGGATTAAAATAGAATTGTTTGACCGTTTTTAAACAATTTGTCTTTTCTTCAGGTCATCATCGAGTCTCTGATGATGAAGATGATGAAAAAAATTCAAAACAAAAAAGGGGAATTTTACCTAAACAAGCAACGCAAGTCATGAAATCTTGGTTGTTCCAGCACATTGTGGTATGTCATCTTGGTTGTTCCAGCACATTGTGGTATGTCATCTTGGTTGTTCCAGCACATTGTGGTATGTCATCTTGGTTGTTCCAGCACATTGTGGTATGTCATCTTGGTTGTTCCTGCAAATTGTGGTATGTCATTTTAGTTGTTCCAGCACATTGTGGATGTCATCTTAGTTGTTCCAGCACATTGTGGTATGTCATCTTAGTTGTTCCAGCACATTGTGGTATGTCATCTTGGTTGTTTCAGCACATTGTGGTATGTCATCTTAGTTGTTCCAGCACATTGTGGTATGTCATCTTGGTTGTTTCAGCACATTGTGGTATGTCATCTTAGTTGTTCCAGCACATTGTGGTATGTCATCTTGGTTGTTCCAGCACATTGTGGTATGTCATCTTAGTTGTTCCAGCACATTGTGGTATGTCATCTTGGTTGTTCCAGCACATTGTGGTATGTCATCTTGGTTGTTCCAGCACATTGTGGTATGTCATCTTGGTTGTTCCAGCACATTGTGGTATGTCATCTTAGTTATTCCAGCACATTGTGGTATGTCAGCAATTAAGTCAACATAATCACTTGAAAAGACAATAATTTTATGATCATAATGAGCCGTCAGCCATAAAAACAAGTAGATGTCTTTGTTGTCTTTGACTTGACTCAGTCCTGTGAAAACTACTCATTGTAAAACTAGCTGTTGCCATTAGTATAAGAGTATTTGAGTAATTACTAATATACTTATAGAAAATACTACCTGTATGTACATCAGAACTTTACTGAGGATGTTAGAATAGATTATTCTATTTCAGCACCCTTACCCCACAGAGGATGAAAAACGTCAAATTGCGGCACAGACTAATCTAACTCTTCTTCAAGTGAACAATTGGTTTATAAATGCCAGGAGGCGAATATTGCAGGTAAATTTCACCTTAAAAGAAAATAGTTTATACTGTTACTAAATAAATGAAGTTTGATCATTAACATAATAGACATTTATTTTCTGAATCAGTTTTTTATCCATTATTATTGATTTTGTATTTGACCAATCACTTACAGTGTGTACTTTAAACATACAATATAATAGGGCAAAAATCAGTTTTATGATTTCAAGATTCCTTTTCTTTCAATTGAATTTTCATGAAAGTCCAATCTATTGCATGACTGACTTTTGCAGCCCATGTTAGAGTCCTCAAACCCAGAAAAAGCCAGAGCCAAAAAACCCAGCAAACCAGGGAACAAACCACAACAAAGGTTTTGGCCTATTCTCCCCAATAATGAGGCCAAGGAGGATAAGGTGGAAGATGGAGAGGAGCCCAAATCAAAAGTCATGACTCATTCACCCAAGAAGTCCCCCGTGGCTTCTGTAGTGGCCACTTCTACACCGTCATCTGATAGGTTACAGCAGGTTGTTGTTACGGACAGTTGTCTCCCAACTCAGCAAGATGCTTATATGAGCTTCATGTCTAATGGTGGTCGTAAGTTGGTTATCTTTTCTACATAAAAGACAATTCTTATGGTCGGAACAAAATTAAAGATTTTTTTAAAGTAAACTTTACAATATCACTTTAACTGATGCTTTTCGATGACATGATAAAAAAATGTAAATTGTTATTTCTTGAAACTTCTCTTCCTCACAAATGATTTCAGTTCAGAAACAACAGTGTTTATCTATCTATGAATTGAAGCGTCAGATGATTTCTTGTTCCATGTTTCAGTTGTACTGAGGCTCGGTCCTGATGGTCACATTATTCCCAACACTCAGCTGTCAACATCTATCACATTGGAGAATCTACAGAACCTTCAAGCCTTGCAATCAAGCGGTTTTCTGTTTGCACCCGGGCCCCCCTCCTTACCTTTCAATTTGCCACTTGGTGCCCTGTCACCATCATCAACTGCTGCATTAGGTTTGGGGGTGGGGCCATTCTCTAACTTAGGACCTTCACCCATGTCTTTAGGTGCTTTAAACTTTACTACATATTCTACACCATTACAGGTAAGATAATTCATCTAACATGTATAATGTTCTTTTATGAATCACACCACATAATGTTTTTGAAACATTAACATGCCTTGAAATACATATTGGAAACTAAGATATACTGGATTATGTTATTTCTCCGATAACTCGGAAATTCAAAATATTTATTGTTTAACAGACCTGTTTACTCTTACGACTTTGGCGTACAATTTACGATTTTTAGGTGTATATGGCAGATGGCAATTCAAACAATATAATGCCACTAAGCCTAGCAAATATCATATCAAGACATTTGGCCTGTGTGATTCCTCAACAGGTTATGTTGTTGATATTTTGACCTATTTTGGGGCCAATACCTCCTATAACACAGAAACAGATAAAGATGGAGGACAGGCTGTGCAAGTTTTTCCTACTTTACTGCAGCATGTGGGTACTGGACACAAAATTTTTGCTGACAGATATTATACGTCAAGAAAACTTGTTGACTACCTTCTTGCCAAAAACCTATACTACACAGGAAGACTGAATATCAACCGCATTGGATTTCCACTGGACATAAAATCTTTATCTTTACAACAAAAAGAGATGAAGTGGTATATAAACCAAAACAAGAGCATGCTCTGTGTTGCTTTCAGGGACAAAAAGGCAAACAAAAATGTCATATTGGTGTCCACAGATGCTACGGTACAAGTTACCGAAACAAAAAAAAATGGATAAACCGGAAATGATAGACATTTATAATCACAAAATGAATGGCTGCGTTAAGCTAGACCAAAAAGTAACATATTACTGTGTTTATGAGCGAAAAACATTGAAATGGTGGAAACAGATTTTTTTCTGGCTGTTAGAAATTACCCAGGTGAACTCATACATTTTGTTTTTACTCTGCCAATCAGCAGATGTAAACAGAGTAAAAATGAGTCTAAAACAGTATTAACTTATGTTGATGCGTCAGCTAACCGAGGAAGTAGCATTAAATCAAGTACTAAAAGCACCAGGAAAGGGTCCAGAGACCGGATGCCTTGGCAAGTCCAATGATGCACAGGACATTGTTGATTATGAAAAGGACCGATCTTGTGCATATTGCTCAACTGCAACAAAGCGAGTACGCACACATTTCTATTGTACTGGGTGTGAAGCCAAACCCCATCTCCATCCTAAAGGATGCTTCAAGGCCTTTCATTTAAAATAATAGCTTCATTTGTGTATATATTTAGTAAATATGTGAAATATGTGTAAATATTTGAGTATAACTATTTTTATTGTTGAATTTTTGACAAAAAAATTTTAACACGTGTCTTGGGAAAGAAATTCATAATTTTACAATTTCTGGAGCTACTGCAATGAAATTTTCCAGTTGTTTTGGATGTATCATAAGACTCATTTTAAAAAAATATGAACTTGATTGGATTATTGTTACCTGATTTCTGAGCTGGTGAGTAAAGCAAAAAAAAATTTTTTTAAATAATTTTTTACATAAACCTGCAATAATACCCCCAAACATTTTCTTTGGGTAATTCTTTATCACTTTTTTATACTAGAAACATATTCCTGTTTCAATGACCTACATTTGGATATGCAGCATGATATACTTTTGATAAATAGCAAAACAGAGCCTTTCAGTTTAAAATCATCAGGTCAAATAGAATTTTAGTCCCAAAATTTTACTGCGTTCCCTTAAAAAAATTGTGACGTATTGAATGGGTTAAGTAATTTTGATGCTGTGTGTGGGTTGAGGTGATCTTAAGTAGCCGTGATTTAGTGAGTAGGTCAAGCTGATCTTAAGTAACTGTGATGTAATGAGGAGGTCAAGCTGATCTTAGCCCTTGAACTGTGGTATGCATCATTCTGTGGTATTGGAGCTTTTCAGGGCTTTTTGAATGCCTTTAGAAATTAATAGCATTAAATGACAGAGAAATATTGATACAAGACCCCAATAAGTATAGATTTTAGAAATGGAAATGGATGGGGATCAAGTTGGCTAAATTGCCCACCCCATAAAAAAATTTTGCTCAGTGTCCTTGAACTTGGAGTGCTGAAGAAAAAAAATTTGACAAAATGTCTTGCTTTCAAGTGTTCATAACATCATTAATTTTTATCGATTCACTTAAAGCACTTCTCTAAATGTTATAGCCAATTCATTTATCTTTCATAAAATGTATAGTTTGCTAAGGTTTTGATTACAATTAAACCTCTGAAAGCAATTTTAGTAATTTTAGGTCATTTATTACTGAAAAAAATAAGAAAATAAGCTAAAACCAAGTACAACATACACAATCTCAGGCAAAATATAAAATGTTTATTCTTGGCTAGTAAACATTAAAAAAGGAATTGTGGAACTGATTTGAGTTAACTATAAAATTTATTAATTCTGATCTACAATCTGTAGCTTCTGGGACTAAAATTCAGTCAGTCCTTGCACAACCTCCGGGCCTGGCTTGAAGCCTAACAGTAGGCCTACTTTAGTATCACTAAGACTAGTAATACAGATTCACTAAAAGAATCTGACCTGAGATGTAATGTGGAATGTTAAAATCGTCGTCAGTATCACTTAAATCCTCTCCTAAAAAGCATTCAAAAATATTTATATTAGTTTTCGCACTGAAGGCACAGCCATAGTTTCAACCATTTTAGCTTTAAAAAAAACCCAGCGATATGAAACTCCAATTGAAAAGTACTTATTGTCAGTCAAGAAACAGCTTGACCTGGAAGTTGTTTTAATTATTAATAAAAGAAAGTGGCTATGATTCCGGTTAAATATTGGATTGGAATTTGCTATCGGACCGGATTTGGCATTGGCTTATTGGTAATCTCACATTGGCTTATTGGTCATCACTCATTAACTTATTGGTCAACTTACATTAGCTTATTGGTCATCACACATTAACCTATTGGTCATCACACATTAACTTATTGGTCATCACACATTAATTTATTGGTCATCACACATTAGCTTTTTGGTCAGACATGTACATGTAACATTTGTGATAACAATAAACCTATCTGTGTCAAATATATTAATAGATAGTAATTTACTTGTCCCACATGCTAAATATAATGTGTATTATTCTTTTAAAATTTCAGTTTGCTAACTGCCTCAATGCTGCACCTATAGATCTGAGTACAATGTCAAATTCTACATCTCTTCAGCTGAATGCACTGGCTGCTGGGGCCATGAATTCACAACATTTAAACAATGGACAGGTGAGAATTTAGACAGCTGTAATCAAATTTTAACTGTTGATTGCATTAGTACTAGTGAATAAGTACTGGTCATGTTAAATTATAGTATTTTAAATTTTTTTTAAAATTAGATTTTGTAATTATTTTTATTGTTAAAGATTAAGAATTAATGTGTATCTTTCTTAAATAACCGGAAACTAATGAATAGCACATTTGTCCTAAGTAGATATGCATTAGTCTCCAAGCCAGGGAGCTGTGGGGAGTGTCAAGCTTTAGCCCATTGTACTTAGCCAGATGTTTCACAAATGAATTTATTTCTTCATTCAATTAGCGGTTCTTTTTATTCTTGACATAAATGCACATTCAGAATATATATGAGCACTTTTTTGTGATGGTATGTGCCATTTCAGTTTATTTTGGACTTAATTTTAACAAATTAAATTCAAAATAGCAATCCTAAATCTTAAAATTAAATTTTTAAAACAATGTTACTGATAATAACTACTAAAATTAAAGGATTCATATACACACAGATAGGTCGAAGGATAATCAATTTCCACTAACATTTCTTCTGTTTTTCTCTCGTTAAGTCTAGAATGGTGCAAACTAAATTTAGGTATGCACCAAAATACATCCCTGCATCTTGAAATTATAAAAAAATGGTTTATTCTCATTACTTCTTTAGCTCCAGGTATCTTATCAAATATTTACTTGAACCCCAACACACTGCCTTATGGATGTCATTCCATCCATCATCTTTGTCTCAGGCAGATAATATTGCAGTGACTTCACTGCTTATCACACATGTAAGCAAAGTCTCTTCCTCGCAGGCCATTTGGGAAATTACTGTTACTATTTTGTATGCTTTCATCACATTCTGGGGTCAAGTTGTGATAATCATAGTTGATTTCTACCTATTTTATTGCTCTATTAACATGGGTTGATCTCTCTGACCCACTTCAGGACTTGGCAACAGCAGTATTTACTAGGCCATCAAAATGTCCAAATGTTCACATGAACTATGTCATCTCCTTAAATTTAAGGATAATATCCAGGGGACTGCATTAAATCTGTTTGAATTTTAATTATCCTTTAAGTCTTGCAGCCCATTGAAACTATGTCAACAAATAGGTTTCTCATTTAAAAATTATATTCAATTTAATTTTGGTATTGGAGCAAGTTTGGACTATAGGCTATCTTTGAGTTGCACTTTAGGCTTGTGTTGTCTACTTGGCTTACTGTTGCTCCAGGCACTAGGATCAAGTCAGTAGTGAGAGTTTCTTTCAGTGCTTTGTCTAGGAACTTTGTTTTCTCAATCCTGACTACAAGGATACAACCTAGCTGAACATACACTAATCTTTACCAAAAGTCTTCAATCATTCCAATTGCAGTAAACATTAAGTTATCTTCAGATATTTTAGTTTCATGCCTGATTTAACTTTTTTCTTTCTTTTTGTTTTTTTTAATAGTGGGTGGGGGAGTGGATTCTAGATGGGAAGATGGCTCAATAAGGTAATACATTCCTTTAATAAATGTCAAACTTTTTACCTAACTATTTGCCTGTCATGAACATATATTAAAATATGCTTTATAATTTGTATTTCTCTAGGTGCTGATGGGCGTTTCTTTACAAGATCAAAATGGAGATCAAAGTTTTGATGATGAAAGTCTGGAAGCTGGAGAATTAAAAATAGACACCCGAGAAGTCAGAAATGGCAATGACCTTGCTTAAGAATGAAAATGATAATATTTTATTAATGTTATTTCAAAATAGAATGTAAATGTATGACTTTAAAAAATCTCCACAAAAAAACAGTTTAATAATATTACTGCATTTAAATTGACTTAGAAAGAGAGTAAAATTTAATCTTATAGCAAAGTTTTGTACTTTGAAAAATTTCATGTGAAAACAAATTTCATGGAGTATTGTGAAAACAAATGTCATGGAGTATTGTGAAAGCAAATGTCATGGAGTATTGTGAAAATAATACCGGCATTCTTATTATAATTATATGAATTAATTTTTGTTGCTTAATAAAAGGTAAGGCTTTGCTGATACTGGTAGAAAAAAAAAGTATGTAGTATTATCTTTACATGAATACCATACTTTCAGTGGACTGCAGGAGTTGAAGTATATTTATAGGATCTGTAATAAAACTTTTTAATTATTGTACTTCCATAACTTTAAACAGCTGTGTTGACATTTAGATAACCTTAAATCCCTTATTAATAAATTCTCAAATTATCATTTTTTGTCATGAATTTTCAACAATGTATATGTAATGTAATTACACTAAATAAACTTTCAAAATGTTGTAAATTTGTTAATAATTCTATTATCATTTCTATATTGTATATGGAGCCTATATATGCATGTTGAAATTTTATTTGTCATATATTTGATAATTTCAGATACCTTGTTAACTAACTGTCCCAAGAATAGATGAAATCATTGTTGTTTTACAATTGTAAAGCTTTCACTCTAGATATAAAGTGCAATATTTTAACATCATCCTGTTGAATTTTTTAGGAATCTGAATGAAGTTCCCTCAAACAAATTTCTAGTGAAGATCATTATCACTTAATTTTGTCACACAACATTTTCATGTAAAGGTCATCTAAGATGTCTCCTTTGGCAATGTCTACTTTCAAGAAAATTCTCATAAGGTACATTTAAAATATGTACTTTTAATAAATTTCTCCAGCAGTATTATTGCCATGTCTGTCTTTAATGAAAGTTAGCTGGTTGTTTATGTCCAAACCTTAAGGCAGCACTTTTCTTTAACACCTGTAGTTGTCATTTATGTCCAGCCCATATGCTGAGTTTTTCTACCAGAAATATGTTACTCTTTTCTGATAGGACAGTGTCAAATTGATGAGTTATTGTTTTTATTTGATAGTGAAAAATAATAATTTTGATCTAGTAACTGGTTACTATGGTTAATGGTTAATGTCTAGTAAAACATGTAAGTCTCAGTGGAATTCATCAAGAGCTAAAACTCTTCTTTAGACTTGGTTGGTAATATAAATGTTATCTACCTTGAATATTAATTATAATTCAATCATTTATTAAATTGTAACACATCTATAAGCGCCATTGTAAAATGTAAGTTTTGTAAGTACTAAAATAGTTTTTTCATGCACAATGGAGCGGCAAAGATGCTTATAGTTAAAATCATTTACAATGTTAAGATTTAATGAAACTACTTAGAGCAATGTAAATCAAAATTTTCTTTAATATATGTTTAACCCATTATTATACCTACACACATAATTCTTGCTCAGTCAAATAAATATCTGGTTGTTTGTTGATAATCAGATGATATATTTTGATTCTATTTTCTTTCAAATTAAACCATTTTAAATGATGGATTTATTTTAGACTGGAACTGGTTGCAAAAAATTACGCCAAATTAAAAATTTTGCAAGACCCCCAACAACACTTTACATAAACATATTAATGTGTATCATTTACATTTCTTAGTGTTGCATCAATCTTTAATAAGACATTGTCGGATTGAAACTTAAACCACTTGAGCAATGTTTGAACTATACATTTGTTATAGAGGCTGTTAATTTAAGCTGCAAGTAAATGCTTGATAAAGGTATTTGTTTTAAAGTCCTTTTTATAAATGGGGGCCAAAAAAAAACACATTTTTATAAGGCATTTCTACAAAAAGAAATATCATTAGCTTTTCTCTTTGCCATGGTTTTTAATGTTTCTAAATGAAATTTGAAAATAACATCACAACTCCTTTGACATTAATTCATCTCCTGTCATCTTGGAAACATGAATAGTTAAAGAAAGAGTGTGAAAAAATACCCTCATCCCCAAATCTTGTTCATAATTAGCAGTGAGTAAATCTTTTAAAAGTCATCTATTGGTCATCTCTTATAGTCACATGCTTCGAGTGTGACTGCTGGACTGCCTCCTAATGGACTGCCTCCAAATGGACTGCTCCCATTTCAGGCTGCTTCCTAATCAGCGAATTTGGTATTGAAAGTATATTGCAAATAATTCTATATGTTTGAAAGAAAGTATGGTTCAATAATGAGTTTAATAGCATGCAAAATATAATTCCCGATAACTACGCTAAATGATATATATTTTTTATTTAACCCAACTGCTTTTAGGGGAATATTTTCTTTTTTTGAAAATGAAATAGTCTCAGTTTAAGTATGGTGTAAAAAATATTCCTTTTAAAAGTGGTTGGGACATCAGAATATTCTATATAGTTCATGGGTGTGAAATAAAAAGTGCAGTGACGTATCATGGGGTAAGGGGTGTAGCAAAATTGGGTAAAATGTGCAGTTACTTGAGTTCATGTTTTGTCAAGTAACTTTAGTACATCGGAAGTTCACTCATTGCTGTCGCCAATGTTTGGCGGGCTATATCTAGTGTAATTATATTAGACAAAGAAATGGTAACACATTGACTTGCAGATATGTTTGTATTAAATTCTTTGCATTAGATTATTATTATTCTGTCCCACTTCCCATCACTTTAAAAATTATCATTTAATATATATCACTTGACACTTTGTTAATTACTAACTATATATTAATATTAAATAATATATGAAGCATTGATAATTTTTAAAAAAAATGTATAATTATTTTTGTTTATTAAGACAACATGATGAAACTGTTCGGTAGTAAGTTGAAATCCACTCATTAACTGGACTGATTTTTTTGTTTTTCTAAATTTAAAAATAAGCTTATCCGGAAATTTTTTTGAAAGAAATTTCGTTGATTGAAATTTGATCAAACGGAAGTTTGGTCTAATCTTTTTTACAGTTCACATGTTAAAATTTTATTCAAATTTCTTTTTGAATGCACTTTAGTTATTAGTAAAACAAAATAATACGTTCAAAAAGAAATTTGACGCAAAATTTTATCGTGTGGACTGAAAAAAGATTCGACCAAACTTCCATTTTATCAAATTTCAGTCGACAAAATTTCTTTCAAACAAATTTCCGGTAACCACAAATAAGCAATGCAATATACTATATAGATTAGTGTAATTGCCCATAATCAGAGATATGCAGGTAGAATGAAATGGACTATGTAGACTGCAGTTGACAATGTAAAATAGGACCACAGCATAGTTTGAATTAGGGCGTCCTCATTTAACACTATTGAATGTTTTTTTATATTGTCAAATTTTATTTTCACCAAGTTCATTTTATGTTGCATAATACTTGTAACATGATTATTGACATTGAGAAGATGTGCCATGATGGTAGTCTAGTATATAAAAATGTTTATACTATCTTTAAAAAGGGTGAACATGTTTTATGGTTTTTGTAGACAGGTTTAAGTTTAACTATTAACGTATATTTATTAATGTTACTACCAAAGCCCGAAACTGGCCCATTTGCAAAATAGCCAATGTAGCTGTAAAATGATTGGCCAAAGAAAATGATTGGCCAAAGTCTGATATTTTCTTGATTTTTGTGATTTGGCAGGTCCGATTACAAAATCGCATGATACAATCTGACACTTACCTAGTGATTTTTTTCTAAGCTCATGTATTCAAGTGTGAACAGTATCATGCGCTGAATGGAAAATTCACTTCTGGAAAGGGAATTGTTTGAGAACACCAAGTTCTGTTCCAAGCAGACTCCACGTTCATGACAACTGACAGATATTCTTGCATCAGCAAATTTTGTTCTATGATTTCCAGCCACTTGAAGAAATACCCTGCCAAAGTTGCGTATACACTTGTCATTTCCAGTTCATCAGACTTTGTCATTTTGCACTATGGCTGGCCATCATTATACAAAATGGCAGAACTTTGAGGTAACATATAGATCAAGGGTCTCGCCAGCCCTCTAATAGACAACTCTAAAAACATTGATTTTCTCTATTCTCAACATCTTTTAAACATCTTATTTTAACTGGTACATATATTAAAATTGTATGTTAGCAGCAGAAAAAATATTCACCTCTCCTCTTGGGTTAACTTGAAGTCCAAATATTAGAAGGACACAATAATATATTACAAGTTTTTTAAATATTATCATGAGCGTTCTCCAGGAATTAAAAATATCATTAAATAATTCATATGATGTTTTGTGCTTAATCGAAAGTTTTAATTGTATGAAGTATTGAGCTCTGTTTCTAGTTAATTTGAATATAGTGCCAAGCATAAGACTTATGATAAGTCATGATAAGTAAGTCATTTTATTAATTCTTTTCTGTGCAATGTATGCAATGTTGTTAATTTTGTATATGTTAACAAAACATTAAATATATTCTTATTTTAATTTGTGTTGTCTGCTTTTATTACTTTTGTTAATGCTTTGATCTTGTGCTATTGTTACTAAAGACTTAAAGACTAAACATTACTATTGTAATTGTTTTTACTATATTCATTCTTAGTGTTACTATTGTTATGAATTTCTGATTCTGATAGACTACGTTGCTGCAACCAAGTACTAGCATATGTGCAACGGTTTGGGAAACGATGCGGCTATCCTAACCGCGCCATGGCGGCATTGTCCAGTTGGTTCCAAGCAATTATTGTTCGTGGGAAGAATGATTGTTTATATTAAGAATGATTGTTTATATTGAACTGTGTTACAGTGAAGCATTTATCATTGTTCCAGATGTAACAGCTGATGGAGTTGTCAGAGGTGAAGTCAGTGTTTATTGAGAGTTTGGCTCTTTGTTGTTACTTGTCTTGTCTGCTGACAAACGCATCTAGCCAAAACATTCTTTTATTGTCCTGTTTGCTTTCAAACCTTAACTTCTTAACATATCTTGTTCTTCTATTATATTATGTGGTATAAGAAGACACCTAACTTTAAATACTTTAATAAACTACCCTACTAAGGCAGTGGTCCTCAACCTTCCTAATGCTGCGACCCTTAAACTTTAATACAGTTCCTCATGTTGTGGCAAACCCCAAGAACACTTTTTTCGTTGCTACTGTAGAATGTATTTTTTTTCTGATGGTCTTAGGGGACCCTAGTGAAATGGTCGTTCGACCCCCTAAAGGGGTTGCGACCAACAGGTGGAGAACCGCTGTACTAAGGCTATGCCATAAATCATGCAAAATCATAATATTATCATAATCACTACATGATAAAAGGTAGTAGAGATTTTTTATAAATTGATTTCATTGATTGTTGAAAGGAAAGAAATTAAATAACTAATCCATTTCACAATATAAAAAAACATCTGCTCCTATTTTTGTGCTACTTAAAAAAATATTTTAAAATAATTTAGTTTCATAGATTTTAACATTTCATTTCATAAAACATTTTTAATAAATCCATCAAAGGGAAGGCACTCCCATGTTAATCAGTTCTAACAATTCGCAAATCCCGACGCTAAACGACATTTGTGTTAACAATATGTATCATAAGTATAAAGTCAGATACCCTTGAGGCCTTTTAAAAATGAAACCTCAGTAATCAATGACAAAAACGTGTACCCCACCACTGTACGTCGTATTTCTACAGTAGGGTGGCCGTGTGAACTACTCAGTCTTCTCTCTAACTTGACTCAAGTCGGCGTTTAGTTTATTATTATATAACTACATCGACATAACTTAAAATTAAAACAATTCGTGTATTGGCTTAAACTTAGATTCATTGGTAAGTGTGGTAACCCAGTTGATTTAATAATTAATAGTAATAATTAGCGAAAATATAAATAGGTCAATGCAAAAACCTAATACTAATACCTAATTTAATTAATAATAACTAAAACCTATATTAAAGTTAAGATTAAAATTAAAGGACTGTACAGACTATACTATACTATACTATAGTCTATTAGTACAGTAATAGTTGAAAATATTAAGTTGCTAAGCCTAGGGCTGGGCTCACCACGCTGTACATACAATTTAGCAAACATAATCAAAAATTAAAAAAATTAATTAACATACATTAATTAAACAAAACAAATGTATATTTAAAACTATTTACATGTCAAGCCATGGACAACACCCAGCAGCATCATTTTTCGGTCAGAGGTGGGAATCAGTCAGGATGGTAAAGTTTAAAAAGATGTGTTTTGAGTGCAGTTTTGGAGGCTGTGATGGTCAGTACATTGCGGATGTGTAATGGAAGAGAATTCAATTGTTTGACAGCACAGAAGGAGAACGATCGTTCACTGTATGTTTTTGTGAAGTCTTGGTGACAGAGCGAAGTTGTCGAAGGATGAATAGACAGAGAGATGTTCGGTTAGATAGGAAGGGGAGGAATTCGAGAAAACGTTGTGGCAGAGAACAGAGAGTTTGTAGTCAATCTGTGATTGTACAGGGAGCCAATGAAGTGAATGACGTAGTGGTGTGACGTAATCACATTTTTTTGCCTTTAGAATTAGTCTAGCAGCTAAGTTTTGAACATTTTGTAATTTTTCTAAGAATTGTTTTGGTGAACTTGATAGAAGAGAGTTGCAATAGTCAAGACGAGAGAGAACTAGAGCACAGACTAGGGTTTTTGTTGCACTAACTGTGAGGTATTGGCGGATAGAGCTGATCTGACAATTAGGCTGGTACCACCAGTGGTAGCTGGACATTGATTTCTAACGAATATTATTATATTTTTAATTTGGGACCGCCAATCTTAGGAGTGCCATAATCTTACCATTTATGTAGTGAATAATAGATTAGATCATTAGGCCTATCTTGAAAGAGTATCTATGACAAAATCACTGATTTTAAAAAACAAAAGGATTATGATGGAGTGAGAAATTTTTTACAATTATTTTATTTGGTGGTTATTATTAGTAAGTTATTACAGTTTAAATCATTACAGTTTCAACTTTCCTTCCAACACAAGAAGTAACAGTAGCCTTAAATGATAATATAAATAATAAAGGTCCAGCATAGTAAAATCACTTTGATTTTCATAATCATGATGTTTAAACTATATATAATACTAGCTGATATACCCGGCATTTGCTTGGATAGCATCCGGAGCAAAGGAACTTCTACAAACTTATAATTAACATTAAATTTAAGCACCATGTAAAAAAAAACAACTACTCCTCTCTAGTAAATAACATTGTAATAAATCTGTCTCCTATCTAAACACATTAATAATTACTTAAGTAAACCTTTTGCTCCCCGATAGGATCCCAATCCCGGAGGGGACCCGAACGGATCCTGTTTCCTGATAGAATTCCATTTTCCGATGAATCCCGGTATCCGGAGGTATCCTGACTCCGTTTGGATCCTGATCCCATCAATATTTTGATCTTAGTGCGTTCTCGATCTTGTCACTATCCCGATGAGATCTCAATCCTGATGGGATCCTAATCCTGGTTGGATCATAATACCTCTGGAATTCCAATCCTTGCGGGCTCCCGATTCTGCCGAGATGCATTTTCCCGGTGTGATCCCGAACCCTGTTGGGTCATAATCCTGGTGTGATCCCATTCCCAGTAAGATCCCGATACCGGTTGGATTCTGATCTCAGTAGGTTCCCGTTTCCTGGTGGGGTCCTGATCCCGGTGGGATCCCATTTTGTGGTGGGATCCCGATAGAATACCGCTCTGTGGGATCCCTTTTCCCGGCGAGATCCTCTTTTGATAGGATGCCATTTGCCCTATTTGATTCCATTACTCGATCGGATCACATTACCGGTTGGTTCCAGTTTACTCATTCCCCTTTAAACTTCTGTCCCTCATTGGGATTTTGTTCCTGGTAGGATTATGAAGGGCATGTTTAGACAAAATGGCCAGGAAAGTCTAGAAATGAATGGAACCAAACGGACATTTCAATCAGCTTTTAGATACCATTACATATCCCCGTAAGACAATATAGAACTTTCTGGAAGATTCTAGATTAAATTTAATATCCTCCTCGAGACATGTAAAAATGTCTTTAAAAACGTAATTATTTTTCAATTAGGAAAAATTATACAAGTAAATGTACTACTAAAACTATTTTACATTTAAGTTGAAAGAGGAGCCCCAGCAAGGGCCCATATCTTAATTGTTCCAAATTAGTTATGCCTGAGATAGGGGCCCTATAAAAATCAGTCAGTAAATTATGCAGTTAAAATTTAACATTTGTTCCCTTAAAATCTATTTAATAATGCCATAGATAGAGCTTTTTAAATAATCGAACTTTCTGGAAAATTCTAGATTGGATATTCTTAGTTTTAAATCTAGCAATATTCCAATACGGATAATGAAGTGTATTGCTATCATGCTAGGCCTATATCCATCAATTCACATAAACCTATAGTGTTGTCTAAGCCTATACTTATAGACTATAAGGAAAAATGAAGTGATAAAAACTTTTTCAATCAAGACTTAAAAAAATTGATATTGCATATTTGAGAATAGTTCTGTCGATTAAGAAAAGTTTCTCTACAAATCATACCATTTGAATTGATGGAGCACCGTCTATAACTGGCTTTAACCTTTCATAGTTGTCAAAACAAGTGGAAAACAAAATCAGTGTCAAATGTTTTTAATATTCCTTTTGTCATTTATTGCCAATATCTTGTAGCTCAAAATTTCAGTGCTCTTAATTACTGCAGTGGGATGCGCTCAAAATGATTGAATATTCCTGACTCCCTGCATTGAAAGCATTGCATCATATAATTTGCTGCTTTTCATTGATGTTTGTTGGAACAAATCCCTCTCATGGTGCTAACTCCAAAGACATGCAAGACATTGCGTCTCATGGTGCTGACTCCAAAAACTTCATACATGACATTGCTTCTTATAAATTTGCATTTTCTATGGAATCAGACCAGTCTTAAAATAATCAAACGGTGTTCCTTACTTTGGAATAATAAGGCATTAAATATTGTAAATGTGAAATATCTAAAACTCTTGCTAAATAATTATCCTATAAAGGTTACTGCTTGATTCAATTATTCAACTTATAAAGATTCTTTTGTTTTGATGCATTGTTCAAATATTTGTTATAATTTTACATGTTATTGTGTGTTATCTTCCATAGAGGTTGTGAAAATAATATAATCTTAAAATGCTAAAAACTGATTTCAATGGTGGGGTAGTTTTTGGGCCCAAGGGGGCGCTGGCTGGAAAAAGAAAAACGGCTGTTCACCTACATTCTTAGTTTTATGCTTATTTATAATTTCCATAAAACTATTATGGATGAGTTTCTTACTCTTGTCTTCCAGATATATGAAAATGAATGACTCTTGTGCTGCAGCTAAATCAAGAACAGTGGGGCTGAATCAAGGAGCAAAATCTCTCCTCCGTAATGTCATACGCCACACAGACACTCATAATAGAGTAAGTTTTGTGAATTTATCTTAGTATTGGCTCTGGCATTTCAAGTCATGATAGATTTTAAATTTGAGCTATAAAATATAATGATACAACATACAAATGAATGCCCATATTTTATACTATATTACCAAAAATAAACACAAAGACCTTTTCTTTAAACTTATATGACCATTCATGGTGTTAAAATATCTTTGAAGTTTTTTAGCAGTAATATTCTTCTTCTATGTTTTGAGGGCCCATGATCAATGTATCGATCAGTTTGGCTCCTATATTAATCAGTGTTCCAGCTCCTGATTATGTTTCTAATTTGTACACCAAGTCCCAGGGATTAAAACAAATCTTCACTGAAACAATATCCTTTATTATCTTGCATTCCCTCATGTTTATATCTTTCAAAGCTTTCCCCCCTTTCCCAACATTATCATTTCAGCATTTGCATGATCTTTAGTAAATAGTTTTTGATTCACATTATAAAATCTAGGTTAATTAATGACAATTTTTAAACCAGTAATGAATATTTATTGTTATAATTTTTCATTAAATGCAACAGGTCAGATGTGACCCTTGAACTCTTGTCTTGGCATATCTTTCAACTTCCATTTTAAAATAAAGCAACCTCTTTTCAGCATTTAGAGGAATCAGAAATGTGGCAGCTGCACCAGAAATTGAAACAGGAAAATTTCATGGATTATGAGGACAGACGTAAACACACAACAGCTGATAGGACAGATCAGCACCAAAGGAAGTTGAGCAATAAGGACGACAAGAGCAAGGACATCAGAGATCCTCATATACAGAACTCTTACTTATATGATGACAGGTATAATGAGAGCTCTAATATTGTTACATTTTTAATGATACTTGTTTCACAAATAAAAGTTTTAGATGATACTTGTTGTTCCACACATAAAAATTTGAGATAATGAATGCTTTAATGTTATTAAAAATTATATTGTTTTTTCAATTATTTTAGAATAATTTCTTAAAATAGGGCACCCAAGACTTGCCCATGCAGTGAGCCTTGGATAGGCACCCTTTGACAGCCCTACTAATTGCACCCTTTGACAGCCCTACTTATGGTACCAGTTGACAGTCCTACTTATGGTACCCATTGACAGTCCTACTTATGGTCCCATTGACAGTCCTACTTATGGTACCAGTTGACAGTCCTACTTATGGTACCCATTGACAGCCCTACTTATGGTCCCATTGACAGCCCTACTTATGGTACCAGTTGACATCCCTACTAATGTTATCAGTTGACAGCCCTACTTATGGTACCCATTGACAGCCCTACTAATGGCAAACAAGATACTTTTGGCCTCAAAGTGTGTGTTTTTAACAGTAATTTGTGAAGTAAATAATTACCGGTATGTATCTTGTTCAAACAGAGAGGACATGGGAGGGAAGAGAAGAGGAAAGAAAAGGGCACACATGGATGATGTTACTTTGGAAGAAGAAGAAGATCAAGGGAAGAATGGAGGACAGAGCACCTACTGGCTAAAACAGCTCCATAACTTTGAAGAAGCTGACCCTGACAGGTAGTTCATTCACTTGTCAGTTGATGTCACTTGTCAGTTGATGTCACTTGACAGTTATTGTTTAACTTGTCAGTTGATGTCACTTGACAGTTTATGTGTAATTTGTCAGTTGATTTCACTTGACAGTTTATGTGTAACTCGTCAGTTGATGTCACTTGACAGTTTATGTGTAACTTGTCAGTTGATGTCACTTGACAGTTTATGTGTAACTTGTCAGTTGATGTCACTTGACAGTTTATGTGTAACTTGTCAGTTGATGTCACTTGACAGTTATTGTTTAACTTGTCAGTTGATGTCACTTGACAGTTTATGTGTAATTTGTCAGTTGATTTCACTTGACAGTTTATGTGTAACTCGTCAGTTGATGTCACTTGACAGTTTATGTGTAACTTGTCAGTTGATGTCACTTGACAGTTTATGTGTAACTTGTCAGTTGATGTCACTTGACAGTTTATGGGTTGTTGTTTTATAGGTCACTTGTTAGTTGATGGGTTGTCGGTTTATAGGTCACTTGTTTAGTTTATGGGTTGTCGGTTTATAGGTCACTTGTTAGTTAATGGGTTGTCAGTTGTTAGTTTATGGGTTGTTGGTTTATAGGTCACTTGTTAGTTTATGGGTTGTTGGTTTATAGGTCACTTGTTAGTTTATGGTTTACTTTCCAGAATAAACGTCAAACGCTTGCTTGATCTATCTTTAACATGATATGAAACAGGATACATGATAGTAATGATAGTGAGTCTCTTTGTCTGAGGCTCTAATTAAGTAATTAACTCTCTCGAGTACACTCACTGTACTTTGATTTCACTGTACTTTGATTCTACTTTTAGAGGTAGCAATTGTCATATCTATAAGCCGGGACACAGAGTTCCCTTAGAGCTTCATACAGATATTTCCTATCTACGCTTTCATAAGTTGTTTTATAGTTCATATAAAGTTGGTGTATGATGATGTTTTATTCATATCATTTCTCCAGGAGCCATCTTATAGTAAAGTTATGATCTTGGTTGATCTATTCTGTCCACATCCACATTGATAGTCCCCTAGGATCTGTTCACTATACCTTTCCTGTTTTCTTGCTGTTAGTTTAGTCAGGTTTTTGTAAGTTACATTAAGTGAGGAAGTTCCTCATTGGAGCAGTCCTTTTTTTCTGTTTTTGTGAATTGGTATTCTGAGCGGAGTGTCTCACTCTATTGGCATTTCTTCCTCCTGCCAGATTCTTGATAGGAGGTCGTGTCTTTGCCTATGCAGTTTGTTTTTACCTAGTTTTATCAGCCCTGCAATGATAAGGTCTATTCAATTCCTGGGGCTTTATTTTTCATGGTAAAAATCACATCTTTTGTTTCATTCTGTGTTGGTTTACCAATCGGTCCGGTCCGCCTTGTAGTAGGTGGTAAACCTCATTTTCACTTTCCACTTTAATACATCAGACCACAGTCACTTATTTCTGCTTACCTTGTTTTACTACTACATGAATCCATGTGGTTTGTTAAATGTGGCATAATCAACCCTTGAACTGTGGTCGGCCGATATTGTCGTTCTGTGCTGTGGCGGCCGAAGAAATCGGCCCGGTCCGATAGCAACTTCCAATCCAATATTTAACAGAAATTATAGCCACTTCCTTTTATTAATAATTAAATCATCTTCCGGGTTAAGCTGTTTATTGATAACTTAAAAATAAGTACTTTTTAATCGGAGTTTTGTATCTCTGTTTTTTTTAAAGCTAACATGGTTGAAGCTATGGCCGGGCCTTCAGTGCAAGAACTAATAGAAATATTTTTAAAAGCTTTTAGGAGAGGAATTAAGTGATACTGACGATGATTTGAACATTCCCCATGACGATATTAGTTGAGATTCTTCTTCTCGTAAATCTTATACTAGTTTTAGTCTTAGTGATACTGAAGTAGGTCTACTGTTAAGACTTCGAGCCAGGCCCCAGAGGTTGGGCAAGGACTGACTGAATTTTAGTCACAAAAGCTACAGATTATAGTTTAGAACTAATAAATTTTATAGTTAAACAACCCAAATCAGTTCCACAGTTCCTTTTTAAATGTTTACTAGTCAATAACAACTATTTTGCCTGAGATTTTGTATTTTGTACTTGCTTTTAGCTGTGGTCCCAGTTTATTATATAAATGACCTAAAATTACTAAAATTGCTTTCAGAGGTTTAATTGTAATCAAAACCTGAGCAAACTATACATTTTCTGAAAGATAAATGAATTGGCTACAACATTTAGATTTGTGTTTCAAGTGTATCTATAAAAATTAATGATGTTATAAGAAATTTGGTCCATTTTTTTTCCTTTGAGAACTCCAAGGTCAAGGACACTAAGCAAAATTTTTTATGGGGTGGGCAATATAAGCCAACTTTATCCCCATCCATTTACCTTTTAAAAAATATATACTTATAGGGGTCTTGTATCAATATTTCTATGTCATTTAATGCAATTTCAAAAGTCTTTCAAAAGGCTCTGAAAAACTCCCCCACTACAGAATGATGCGTGCCACAGTTCAACGGTTAACATCAGACCACAGTCACTTATTTCTGCTTGCCTTGTTTAACTACTACATGAATCCACGTAGTTTGTTAAATGTGGCATTATTAACCATCACCTATGTATAAATATATTCATATATATATAAAACATTTCCACATTTATATCTATTGAAATAAAGAAATGATTAGCACATAATATTTAAAATGATGTATGATTTAAGGTAAAGAATTTTACAGTTGCTTTTAAATACATAATACCTGGTCACTATTAAATCCAATCACATAGAGGGATAAAAAGATGCATTCTAGTTGGTTTTATTCCTTTTACAAGTCAGTTCATTATTAACATTTAGTACTACATCTTAGGTCATTATTAACATTTAGTAATACATCTTAGGTCAATATTAACATTTAGTACTAATTCTTTATTTTCATATAGAAATCATGTATTCGTAACAAGTTTTTTAAAATGATTTTAAAAACTATTTTGACGCTAAGGTGGGGCCACAGTGGCTTTAAAGAGCTTTATCCTGAAGTCTATGACAGTGACAAGAGCAGTGAAGACAAGTCAACAAAAAGGAAATCCAAGGATAAATCCAGTAAGAAGAAGCACAAGAAAAAAAAGAAAAAGAGAGAACGTGACAAGAGTGAAAAAAACATAAAAAGGGAAAAACATAAGAAAAAAAGTAAAGATAAAAAGCACACATTGAATTCTGGCAAAAATTCTGATTCCAAAAGTACCCATGGCAAACACAGAGATGGAAATTCTTCAGATGACGTGAGTGAAGATAACTCTTTTGAAATGGAGAGAAAAAAGAAGAAACGACGGTACAACAGGGTGGAAAATGAAAAACAGGTTATCAAAGGAGAGAATCAATGTGAATCTCCACACAGGAAAATGGCAAGGAGAAAATAATTGCCTTTAACCATTATTAAATAAATAATTGTAGCAATTCAATGATGTACAGCATGTATGTCTTTCTTTAACTTTAGTTTATTTTTGTTAACAACCCATGTCTCCTTGGGTGGTGTCTGTTAGGGTTTAACTCTCAGGCTTTCAACCTGGATGTTTACCCTTAGTTCCAAACTGCCATCTCTTGGATGTTTACCCTTAGTTCCAAACTGCCATCTCTTGGATGTTTACCCTTAGTTCCAAACTGCCATCTCTTGGATGTTTACCCTTAGTTTCAAACTGCCATCTCTTGGATGTTTACCCTTAGTTCAAACTGGCATCTCTTGGATGTTTATCCTTAGTTCCAAACTGCCATCTCTTGGATGTTTACCCTTAGTTCAAACTGCCATCTCTTGGATGTTTACCCTTAGTTCCAAACTGCCATCTCTTGGATGTTTACCCTTAGTTCCAAACTGCCATATTTTGGATGTTTACCCTTAGTTCCAAACTGCTATCTCGTGGATGTTTACCCTTAGACTCAGTTCCAAACTACCATCTTTTGGTTGTGAGGTGCTACCATTGCACCAAGGGCCCCAGAAAAACTTATTTTAAGATAAAGAGTCTCTACCTCTCATGTTTGTAAAATAAACCAATGCTCCTCCAACTGCCCTCTCATGTTTGTAAAATAAACCAATGCTCCTCCAACTGCCCTCTCATGTTTGTAAAATAAACCAATGCTCCTCCAACTGCCCTCTCATGTTTGTAAAATAAACCAATGCTCCTCCAACTGCCCTCTCATGTTTGTAAACTAAACCAATGCTCCTCAAACTGTCTGTTGTAATAATCTCGGAACATGAACCAAAATTTTATAAAATTCTAGAAGTCTTCTGAAGCTGGAATCCAAACATTGAATTTTGTAAACACTTTTTAACACCTTTAGTATAAAAGTAATAGAAACTTTATATCCACGTGCTGCTTTATCCAAGCACATCAAATGAATAACCTGATAATAGGAGAGTTTATAGCGTTATAGTTTCAAAAAAATGGCTCCTAGACTAACTTTGACCAGGGCATACATGGGACTTGTTTATGATGGATTGTTGAAATAGGCTAAAGTTGTCTTGATCTGCTTACAGTGCTAACCTGGAAGAAATGTTCATGTTCAGTGTCAAAATTACAAATATGTAAAAAAAAAAAAAATCAGATGACACCATCATTTGCTTAGTAGCTTGTGGAAATACTAGCAGGAAGAACATCAAATTGTTAGATAAGCATGTGCAGCCAAGAAATAAAGAGGCAGTGTAATTCATATATTTTCTTTGTTATGTTGTGAGGGAGTCTCATTCATATATGTTCTTTGTTATGTTGTGAGGAAGTGTGATTCATATATGTTCTTTGTTATGTTATGAGAGTGAGGGAGTCTAATTCACATATGGTCTTTGTAATGTTGTGAGGGCAACAACTTGGATAAAAAATGTTCAAGACAATTGTATCACATTGTGTTTGTTGGATTCTCCCATAAAAGTTGTCCCACTTAAAAACTAGCCCTAAACAAGCACTGGGTGTCAGTTTGTTGGATTCTCACATAAAAGTTGTCCCACTTAAAAACTAGCCTAAACAAGCACTGGGTGTCAGTTTGTTGGATTGTGTCTCCATTCATTCCTATGAAATTTTCTTCCTATTTAAATCATCTCAAACTAAACCCAAGCATCAACTATTGGTATGAGTAAAAATTGTCAATTTAAAATGCCATTTTGCTCCACTGCTTTGTTTGTTTGTTAATGTTTGTTTGTTTTGTTTGAAAGGCCCTGCACTTGTGCCTTTATTTTGTGCTAACTTGATGTGAAAAATACAAGACTCTTACATATGATTATTTAGCTGAAAATCAATTCTTGTAATGTTGACATACTTTTGAAGTACTGCTCAAGAAAATCTACCCCATCTCCCAGTGCTAACTGATAACTTAATGCAACCATTAGGCTGTTAAGAGAAGAAAATAACCAGTAGATAATTTTTTTACCTTACTTTATTGGAACTATTCTGACCAGCAGATTCAATGTTAAATGAATTGTTTTAATGCATGAAATCATGAGATAGCAAAGATATTTTATATTCAAACACCCCAGTAGGCAGGGTTTGTTATTTTCAAACACCCCAGTCGACAGGGTTTGTTATTTTCAAACACCCCCATAGACATGGGTTGTTATTTTCAAATACCCCGTAGACAGGGTTTGTTATTTTTAAGATACCCAGAAATCCTATCAATTAATCAAATGACTCACATTGTTATTTTTTAATAAATGAAATTCTCTCTCCCCCCTCCCAGTTAAAAAAAAAAAAAAAAATTCTGATTACCTGAACCATTATTGTAGATCTTTTGATCTATTTTTAAACAACTGCAACTAACAATGTATTTAAAGTTAATTAGACGCAGTGAGCTGACAAAAATAATAGTTATTTTAAAATGGACTATGCAGTAAGAATGACACCTAGGTACAGCTCCTATTAAATGTCTACATGAAACTGATCCACTTCAAGTAGTGATGATGTCTGTTCTCATTTTAAACTGAAGAAGAAATATCATGTTTAGAATACTCAGTAAAATATATCAGTACCTAGCAGCATTGATTTCTCAGCATTACCATCTACCAGAATTATTGTATATTTTAGTCCTTTCTTTCCATTTAGTTTTGTGTATTTAAGTCTAAGTCATGTATTTCTATATCAACCAATGTGTTGTATTGTGTGTCAAAGTAATGTATTTCCACATTAATCAATGTGTTGTATATATTGCACATTTCAAGCCTGTTGTTCAGTACAGTACTTTGGTCAAAATTAAATATTCATTATTTATTTTTTCTGTGTTTACATGAAATAATGTTAACTTGTTCAGTTGACTCAACTTTCTACTGAAAATTGAGTTGTCAACATTTCTACTCAAACTTAAAACATTTCTGTACACATCAAAGGTGGAATATTTTAAATAAAATCATTTTTATTTACATATAAAAAATGTAAAGATATTTTAAAGGCTTTATGCATTGAAGATTAGCTCATAACAAAATATGTAGAAAAAAAAGGACAAATAAAACATAAAAGATTCAATTTTGTTAGAAGTTGATCTATTATCAGTGGTTCTAAAACTAGAGATATTTGTTTCTATGTCAATTGGTGTTCCAGATTCTTTTAACTTGTATAAGATCATGGTGTTCCCCCTGGTCGCATCTGTCTCATGGGTCATATTCATAGCCTGAGTGGGCTGGTCATGTGATGTCACTGAGACAAGTTTAGAAGGTTGGACTGTAGTAGATGTAACTTGTCGATCTGAAATGCAGGAAAAACATAAGCTGTCTTACATGTGGACTGGTCACTGAGGTTAAATCTGGGGTGGTGGTCTTAGAGTTTAAATGTGGGATGTTCATTTAGTTTTAATATGGGCTGGTCTTGGAGTTTAAATATTGTAGAGCACCTCGTTTCGTCTCTGATAAACCTTCAATCTGTATCTCGTATTTCACCAATCAGACAACTCAGGCGATGGTTATAGTATTGTTCTGATACACTGCACCCTTTGGTCAGTTGGTCGGTTACCATGCTGTGGGATCTGATATGCTGGACCCTTTGGTCAGTTGGTCCATGCCTTGCTGTAGGATCTGATTCGCTGGACCTTTGGTCAGTTAGTCTGTACCTTTCTGTGGGATCTGATATGCTAGACCCTTTGGTCAGTTGGTCAATACCTTGCTGTAGGATCTGATACACTGGACCCTTTGGTCAGTTGGTCGGTACCTTGCTGTAGGATCTGATACACTGGACCCTTTGGTCAGTTGGTCGGTACCTTGCTGTAGGATCTGATACGCTGGACCCTTTGGTCAGTTGGTTGGTTACCGTGCTGTGGGATCTGATACGCTGGACCCTTTGGTCAGTTGGTTGGTTACTGTGCTGTGGGATCTGATACGCTGGACCCTTTGGTCAGTTGGTCGGTTACTGTGCTGTGGGATCTGATACACTGGACCCTTTGGTCAGTTGGTCGGTACCTTGCTGTGGAATTCCCCCCACCCCTGTACCACCACGTCACAAACAGGTCTGAACACTCTACAGTATAGTCAATGACAATCATGATCTACTGGCAATCTGCTTGTTAGCATAGTTGATTGTATTCCCGGCTCAAATATATGTTTAGGGCACAATGATCGACATAATGGAAGTCCCTAATAATGTCTGTCAGGACCTCGGATTTGGCATGTAGTCTCTGGAGATTGAATAGCTTACCATCAGTTCGGTATCTGAGACCAACGTCTCCCTCTCTGAAAGCCAAGGTGGTGGAAAACTTTAGGTTGAAAAGTGTTGGAGTCAGGACAGAACCTTGTTGGACGTCATTTTTCAGAGGGAATTGTTTAGACGGCTCACCATTTTCCAAAACCTAAGTCTGCATACCATCATGTCCTCTAACCCTAGCATGCATACCATCATGTCCTCTAACCCTAGCCTGCAAACCATCATGTCCTCTAACCCTAGCCTGCATACCATCATGTCCTCTAACCCTAGCCTGCATACCATCATGTCCTCTAACCCTAGCCTGTATACTATCATGTCCCCTAACCCTAGCCTGAATACTATCATGTCCCCTAACACTAGCCTGCATACCATCATGTCCCATAACCCTAGCCTGAATACTATCATGTCCCCTAACACTAGCCTGCATAACATCATGTCCCATAACCCTAGCCTGAATACTATCATGTCCCCTAACCCTAGCCTGCATACCATCATGCCCACTAACCGTAGCCTGCATACCATCATGTCTTTGAACCTTATCCTGCACACCATCAATATATGGCCATGATCTTCCAAATACCATCTCTGCTAACAGTGTCGAAAGCCTTGGTTTAGGTCTACTTGGGTGGAGCAGGGGTCAACATTCTGTTCCTTGAATTTTCCTATAGCTCTATGGCTGCAAGTACCATATCGATAGTTGTGCATTTTTTTTGGAAACCACATTGACTTTCTGTCAGGAGATCCTCCTCAAGTAACTATTAACTATCCCCAGCTATAATTAATACTTACTAATAATTATCATCTATTCGAAACTATATATACTACGCACCAGTGAATATTACCAGACTCGTCAAGGGTCCATAACCAGCCTGGTTTCTAGCAGACATGGACACAACATACGTGGAGTTCTCTACAATACCTGGTAATTTGACCGCTGCTTGTCCACTGAAGCCAACATCTGAAAATAAAAGGAACAATATTTTGCCAGACACGAATTATTTGTCAATTTAAATCGTTCAGAGATTTACGAAAAGTTCAAAATATCTTGAGAGCTGGGACTAGAATGCAAAAACCAAACAAAAGAGTCTTGGCATATTTTGAAAATTCAGTAGATGTAGAAAATTTAAAAAACAACATGGAATTAACTCAAATAATAAAAACAGATGTAATGTAATGATGTACACACTGATGTAATGATGTACACACTGATGTAACGATGTCCACACTGATGTAATGATGTACACACTGATGTAACGATGTCCACACTGATGTAATGATGTACACACTGATGTAACGATGTCCATACTGATGTAACGATGTCCACACTGATGTAATGATGTACACACTGATGTAATGATGTACACACTGATGTAATGATGTACACACTGATATAATGATGCCCATCCTGATATAATGATGTACACACTGATATAATGATGTACACACTGATATAATGATATACACACTGATGTAATGATGTACATACTGATGTAATGATGTACACACTGATGTAATGATGTGCACACTGATATAATGATGTACACAATGATGTAATGATGTACACACTGATGTAATAATGTGCACACTGATATAATGATGTACACACTGATATAATGATGTACACACTGACATAATGATGTGCACACTGATATGATGATGTACACACTGATATATACTGATTTAATAATATACACACAGATATAAGGATCTATACACAGATATAAGGATGTATTTACCAATTTAATGATAAACACACTGATATAATGATATACACTGATGTAATGGTATACACAGTGATGCTATGACATACTACGACAACCTTAACGTATATGCTAGTTCTGAACTTTGCTGTGGGTTCACAGATGGCTGATGAGGCCGATTCTGTCTGTCGGTGGTCGGAAATGGTCTTGTGCAGAAAGTGCTGAATATTAATGGGACATCTTCATGTGCAGGGTATTGATGGGGCATCTCCAGGTGCAGGGTATTAATGGGGCATCTCCAGGTGCAGGGTATTGATGGGACATCTCAAGGTGCAAGGTATTGATGGGACATCTTCATGTGCAGGGCATTGATGGGACATCTCAAGGTGCAGGGTATTGATGGGACATCTCCAGGTGCAGGGTATTAATGGGACATCTCAAGGTGCAGGGTATTGATGGGACATCTCAAGGTGCAGGGTATTAATGGGGCATCTCCAGGAGCAAGGTATAGATGGGACATCTTCATGTGCAGGGCATTGATGGGACATCTCCAGGTGCAGGGTATTGATGGGGCATCTCCAGGTGCAGGGTATTGATGGGACATCTCAAGTTGTAGGGGATTAATGGGGCATCTCAAGGTGCAGGGTATTAATGGTGCATCTCCAGGTGCAGGATATTAATGGGGCATCTCCGAGTGCAGGGTATGAATGGGGCACCTTCAGGTGCAGGGTATTGATGGGACATCATCATGTGCAGGGTATTGATGTGACATCTTCATGTGATGGGTATTGATGTGACATCTCCAGGTGCAGGGGATTGATGGGATATCTCAAGGTGCAGGGGATTAATGGGACATCTTCATGTGCAGGGGATTAATGGGGCATCTCAAGGTGCAGGGGATCGATGGGACATCTTAAGGTGCAGGGTATTGATGGGACATCTTCATGTGCAGGGTATTATTGGGGCATCTCCAGGTGCAGGGTATTAATGGGCATCTCAAAG